CCCCTGGAGGACACGCCCCCTCCGCGGCGGGACCCGCCCCTCGGACAGGCCCCGCCCCCTCGCACAGGCCCCGCCTCTCCTGGAGCGCTCGAGTGTACTGCGGGAGCGCGAGGCGGAACGGGAGCTGGGAATGCTCTGGTACCGGGTGCCTGGAGCCAGGATGGGATCCGGGAATACTCTGGGACTGGGAGCTTCGAGTCCAGTCAGGATCTGGTGCTGCTCTGGGCCCGGGAGTTTGAAGCCAGTCAGGATGTGGGGATGCTGAAGATCCAGGAGGCAGGAGCCAGGCAGGATCTGGGAATGCTCTGGTACCAGGTGGCCGGAGCTGCCCCGCGCCCACTCCTGTACCCAGTGTGCTGCTCTGCGCCGCACTGGGGTGCTCTGCACCGTGTGCCTGGAGCTGCACAGGGCACGTTCCACTGCCAGGCTGCACCAAGCCTTGGGCACACTCTGCTCCGGGTGCCTGGAGCTGCACAGGGATGCAGGGATGCTCCAGCGGCAGCTCGGCACCGCGATGCGTTGTGCTCGGGCCCTGCTCCCATCCCACGCTGCCCTCCATGGCCATGCACACACCTCGAGCACCAGCAGCCGAGAGCACCCTGTGAACCTCTTCCCCTTGGGAAGCACCAAGGATGCAGCAGTGTTGCCATCTGCTCCTGCCTTGTGCAGCTTCCCACCTTGGTCCCCACGTGCCTGGAGCCGGGTGTCCCSGGATGCCAAACCCAGGGCTTCTCCCAGCACCAGCCTTTTCCCGCCCTTCTCTGGCCCCGGCACCAGCCGAGGGACTGGCCCTTCCCATCCCTTTCCCTGTCTAAGGGCAGGATTTCCTAATACGCACAGCAGCCAGCTAAAAAGAAAATAAAATACTATCTCAGACCTAAGAAAATAAAACACTCTCCCAGACCTTTATTCATCATAAAGAAGGGAGGAAAAAAAAAAAAAAACTGTCCTGCCTCTTCTCCTCTCTCTACTCCTGCAATTCATTCTGATTTTGCAGGTACTGGTGGCATTAAGAGGGGACGGCTTTATGGGTTTTATCCTTGAGCAACCTATCCACTTGTCCCTTTTTTTTTTTCATTTGTCTCTAATATTTTGCAAACATTTATACTCACAATAACAGGCAATTTTATCACAAAGAATCTAGGCATGAGAACTACTGAGTTAATTTGCCTCTGTTTATATCTGTCTCTCCAAAATGAATGGATTGCACTATTTAATGAAAATGCTGTGTTCTGAAATTCAGGCTTTAAAATTATAAAGATGTTGCTGTGCTTTATATCCATCACCCTCTCACAGTCGTTGGTAGAAAAAAAAAAAGAGCTCATTCGCCTCCAGCTTTATTTATTTTACATTATGAAATAACAAAGATGTGTGCTGAGTTAAAGCAGATCCTGAATGCTAATACGTAAGAATTAAAAGGAGGGAATAATGATGGCCTAATGTCTACCCTAAATTAATATATACTATAAAAGATATGATGCATATGGAGCTGGTGCTCCCAGCAGAGCCATTATTTTGGAATGGGCTAAACAAACAATGATCATCCTTTCGCTGATGAATGATGGGCTCCCGTCTGGTGCTTCCTCACGCGCCGTGTGCGAGCGATGGAACGAGGGAGCATTTGATCCAGGGATGCACGTGCTGGGATGCTGCGGAAATGAGGAGAACCCGCCGGCCTCCCCTGGCTGCAAGTGCCTCCTGCTCCCTGCTGAGGACTGATGTGATGAGTCTGGAGCAGCTTTGATGTGTRTTGGCTCTACCTGGATTTGCACCGGGATTTGCACCTGGCGGTGCAAATGCCTCCTGCTATCCCTGTTCCCAAGGCTGGAAATAGTGGGAAAGCACAGGAGCGAGGAGGGCCCTTGCAAGCAGGGCTCTGGCATGGCCCAGGAGCAGGGAAATGCTGGAGAAGCRTACCCTGTGTCCCGGCGAGCTGGAACCCAAGCTTTCCCGGACCCAAACAGATATGTCCTTTCTCTGGAAAAAGTTACAAATGAGCAACAACCTGGAGCGGCAGGGTGATGAGTAAACTAATTAGCAAATGCGGCTTGATTATTCACGGTCTTGGCATATCAGATAGCAGCTAATCTGAGGAACAACGCGTGCTTGCATGTGCTTTATAACGTGGGCATYGAAGCCTGCAAAGCCCTTCAGAGACTGAGGCAAAGACCTGCAAGCAAGGAAAATGTGTGGGATAGCGAGATCATCCCCTGCAGTTGGGTTTTGCTGCTGCCTGACCATTAAATAACTTTTGCAGGAATCACCTGTGGGAAGATGGACGTGGTAGGAGGTATCTGCACAGTATTTCCTGGGTGTGGGAATGTTTTGGGAGTGTCCGTTCCCAGCACATGGCACCAGCACCAGCCATGGCCATGCTGGTCATCCCTGTGACCATGTGGTTTTCCCTGGAGCCAGTTTTCAAGGTACATGGCATGAACAATATTTCCATTTCACACGTGGCTCTCTGACCAGCAAAAGCTGTTGCACGTGGTCCCGATGAGGACCTGGCCCCAGGATGTGCACCAAGCTTCTGGGCACCGCTCACTGAGCAAGTAAGTGACACTGTCCCATCASCCCCAATCCTATCCCGGCATAAACTCGGCTGAGAAGCTGCTGAAAGATCAAATTGCCTTTTGGTGAGGAGAGCCTGGGACAAGCCTAGGGAGCAGGATCCATGGGGAGAAAGGGGCTCTTTGGAGCACACCTCCAAACCAGCAGGAGATGTGGGAATTTGGGAGAGCTTCGTTGGTCCTGCCGCGTTGCCTGGGTCCTTGCAGTGATGGGCACGTTAATGCCAACTGRCAGGAGAGCTAACGGGGCACTGCAGGAGATTATTGGTGAGGTGCAGGAGGCCCCGCTCTTTGGAGGTGCTTATGGGCAGCTAAGTAGGGATCAGACAGCGCACGAGGCAGCAGCACGGAGGATGCAGCCATATGGTCCAAGGGACATTTCCCTGCCTGTCCCAAAGGACACCAGCTGGAGCAGGCTCTGGAGCACCAGCCCTCCCAAAAACCCGCTCCATCCCATGGTCCTCAGTACGTTCCTGCATCCCCAGCACGAGGATGCCGCATTCACCAGCCTCAAGCTGCCCGTTGTCCCTTGTAAAACACGTACCTGGGGACCCTGACCTACTTTCAGACAAAACTGCAGCACTCGCCAAGCGACGGTGGGTAAGTGCCTGCCTCATATAGCATAAAATGCTCGTCAGCAGTACTTTCACATGGGAGAGAAAAGATGTAAAGCTCTCATAAAAATATGTGTTGCATCTTTCTAAGACTGAGGAGGAAATAATTTCACGTGGCCTTGGAACAGGCGGAATGCAGCACAATTTTATATTGCAACCCATTTCTGGAGATACTCCTAAGTAAATACAGGAGAATTTGGTCCAGAGGCATTCGAGAACTTTTGTGAAACCTGCTTTCCACCACAAAATGACAYCAGGTTAATTATGCTGGTTTCTACAGTGATTTAGTTAACTGGTACCACATTTCCAGTTAACAGACATTCTCCAATCAATCCAAGACTTCTTAATGCAGATTTCACTTAATTTGGTGTCATTCTGTGCTGCATCTCCAATGCCATAGAGATATTTGCTTATTGAAATTGGTGCCAAAATTGGTCAGCATCGTCTTGTGAGATAAATCTGCATGGAAGGGGATGACGTGCACATGTAAGGACTGCAGGAAGAGCTCCTAAATTTCCACAGATGAGTTCCTGTAATTGCCCAATCCGTGTAGGAATAAATGAATGTGAGGCAAGAAGAAGCCCTAAACACTGAATGAAACAAATGGAGCTCGGCGGTCGGAGCGGAGTCTTCAGGGAGTGATCTCGTAGCCCAGTGAAACAAAGAGCAGCTTTTGTTTCACGGTGAGATCTTGCAAGAGCTGATTTACCAGGGATAGCGGATAAATAATTCACGATTTCTGAAGGCATGAAGATAAATTTTCTTTCTTTTTGTTATTTCAGAMGTAATTCTGCGAGTTGCAAAAGTGTCTCCACCAAGCATTCACCTATAACATAAAAATAGAGAAGGCAAGACTTACTCTTTCCAGGTACATATAAAAGCATTGCTAAAAAAGAAAAAGCTCACCTTTCTCTATAAAATCATCCTCTGCAGTCACTAGGGCACAGGGAAGCAGAATATTCATGTTTTACTATGCTGAAATTTCTGGAATCAAAATATAAAATCACTGCTAAAATTTAGATGCAACCCTAATAGAACTCAGTAGATAAAGGCCAGCCGGGCTGTATATATATAAGGTGGGAAAACTGAGCCCAGCAATTTCTTGTTCTGAGAACATTTAAGGTTTGTGGTGTCACGGCACTTTGCAGCAGCTAAAAGAAAGGTGTGGGGGGTAATTTTATACCTTCTGATCCTAAATTCGAGCAGCTTAGGTCGGGTAGCTGGGGTAACATTTTACCATTTTGTGTTTTTGCTGCCCCAAAGCCRGCGGCACAAGTTGCACTCGCTGCCAGCCCCGCGCGTGCGGGAGCTGCCGCTTCCCGGGATTAAAATAGGAGCAGCTATTTTAATCTGCTGCCGGAGCGCAGGGGAGGAAATTCCCCTCGCGATCCCTTTCTTCTGCAGGGAGCCGTCGGGCGGGAGCAGCCGTGACCCCAGGCTGGGTCTCCATCCGCCCCGGATTGCAGGGAGTCGCTCAAGGATGGTGCTAGTTGCTGGGAATAGCAGGGAGGTAACATAACGTACACATCGGTGTTGTGCATACACTAAATTGCACATAGATGT